CTACTGAGTCACTCAAGTGCTAGTATAGAGCGGTAACTACTGAGTCACTCCCAAGTCCGGTTTAATATTTGTGTTATGAAAGAAAATACTTATTTAAGTTTTGATTACTAATATCATATTACTTTATGCTTCGTCCTGGATACAGAGTGTGTGGTGGTGTGTGTTGTAGTGTGTGGTGGTGTGTGTTGTAGTGTGTGGTGGTGTGTGTTGTAGTGTGTGGTGGTGTGTGTTGTAGTGTGTAGAGTGCATGGTGGTGTGTGTGTGTGTGTTTATGTTACAGACTGTACAGTATAGTGATTGTGTTACATAGTGTTACAAGCAGTGTATGCGGGCTGTGTGTTACGAACAATAAAATTAACTTCACGTTCTTAATAACATCATCGTAAACAAATATTTATTACCTGATCTAAGTTTTATATTCCACCACCACCAGGAAGGGAGTCTAGCCAGCGCAATGACTTACTAAATAATGAATAACTTTTGGGTACGTGTTTGAAGTGACCGATGGACCGCGTCACTCAGAGCTCGAGCCCTTTTGTTCAATGTGGATGAAACTCTAAACACACACCACAATGATTATGCTAATTTCTCTGCTATATACTATGTTAATTAAAGACTTTTCACACATCAATCTTTCTTTAAAATCTTGTGTTGCATATCTCACCCCCTGAGCCCCCAGACATCTTAATTACATGGTTGATGATCTCAGAGACACAAAGCGTAACCAGACAGGAGGACTGAAGGTTACACAGTCTGTCGCCTTTAATATATCAAAAATGTATTGGACCATCAATCAATCTGGACATGAGTGGTCTCCTCTGCCCTGGGTACAAAGTTCAGTTCACAGGGCTATTGATGCAGTGTGTCGGGGCATTGTTTTTGTTTTTATATAGAGAGAATGATTTAATTGTCGAGCTGTGACAAAAAAATTTACCGGGGGATATTGTTTATGGACAAATGAGGGTGTTCTCCCTTTCTTTGTTTTCTTTCTCTCTTTCTTTGTGTTCTCTTCTCTCTCTTCGCTCTTCCTGTATCGCCGTGTCTCTGTTTTTCTCTTTTTCTTTGTTTCTTTACCCCTTTTCTGTGTGTTTCTCTCTCTATTCGTCTCTTTGTCTTTCTCTCTCATTCTTTCTTTAAATGTCATTTCTTTGTCTCTCGTTGCTATGTATTTAATCTTCACCCTCTATTATTTTTCACCTTTTCTCAATATTATATTTATTTCACCCTTTCTATTATTCCTTCTCATTAAGACATTTGCTCTCTCTCTCTCTCTCTCTCTCTCTCTCTCTCTCTCTCTCTCTCTGGCCTCTCAGTGTTTTGGCTTCGGAATGTATTTGATTATTCTCTCCCCTTTTGGACCCAACGCACTTGCTGTTATCTTTCGTTGCTCCTACTGCTTGAAGCTGCTTTGCTGCTGTTCTAGTAATGCTGTTATTGGTACTGTTAGCTAAAGATGACTGACGGTGACATTACTTGAACGTTTTCTACTGCTGTGATGATTGCTGTTATTGCTCCATAACCACTAGTGTGATGGGGTACTGGTATAGCTGTTCTTATAGTGATGCTGTTATCGCTGTTATCGGTACTGTGGCTACTGATAGTATTGTTTACAGGGTTTTTCCTTTACTGCTGTTGTTATTTGCTGTTACTATTGTGGTTGTTATTTATCACAACTGCTGTTAGCCTGTTCGTGGTGCAGTTATTGGTAAGGTTGATATTGAATGTGTGTTCCTGTCTTGTCCTGCCTGCAATACTACTGCTGTTATCAATGGTACTGGCGATATTGATGTTATTGGTGATTTTTCTGTTGATATTGTTATTGTATTTCCCTTTTCCATTATTATTATTATTATTATTATTATTATTATTACTACTTGGTCAGATTTTTTAAAAGATTTTAAGAACGTGAAGTTAGTTACCCTTCATTACTCGTAACACACAGCCATCATATGCTGTCTGTAACGCTCTGTAACACACACACACACACACACTACCAATGTTGTTCACCATGTGAGGATTTTGTCCAACATATTTAATATAACTTTATAGGACTTACAGATAATACCGTCAAAGACTATTACTGCTCAATATAGAACCAAATTGGCAGAGTATTTTGGTGGTTGTTCACAGTCAAACAGGGATAAAGTACAGTACAATAATTGACCCAAATCAAAGGTAATAACAAGTTGACCCCAGCGACTGTGACGAGGTGGACCCGGAGTCAGAAAGGTTCGTAAGGAACTAATTCTTTAATAGACACCGGGCAGAGTGACACTAATGAGGGAAATAATTATCTGAAGTGTTGAATAAAATAAACTGATCTATCAAATAATGTTATAGACTGTTATGGGAGGTCGTTGTAGATTCTTCTGTTGATATGAAAAGCTTTTGTAATTCTGTTATGGAAGACTCTTGTATAGCCAGCTGTAACTAACACCTGTGATTCTGGCATACCTGTTGATAATTAGCATAACTACCTATAGTGACCACCTGAGATACCAGTACATCCCTGTTACCTGTTACAACCCTTCACTGTTGCAGCTTAACTCATATAATACTGAGAGTGAGTGAGGTCAGTCTCCCCTGCCTCCCTCACATCAACTATCTCAGCAATGTGGCAATATAACTATACTATGCAGGCTATACAAGTTAAGTCTCACACTATTCTGGCAATACTGGAGGTTCAATATGTTCAATCTAGCGCTAAGATACATTACTTAAGTGTTACAGTACAGTTTTAAAATGGAATATTTAATGTTTAATAAAATTGATCTAGCAATATAAATTTACTTGGTCATAATATAGCTCTAACAATAGGTATTTTAAGGTTCATAATATAAATTAATTAAGAGAATGCTCAAGACTTATATATTAGTCCTTATGATCTAGAATGGATGAGGGAAACAACAAGGCTTTATTTTCATCTGTCACCAATTACTTCATTTGGTTGGACACTACATTTTATCCTTCATAATATTCATTTCTTCTAATAATTGTGTTATATTTTATACTAACTTTGTGTGTGTGTGTGTGTTTATATCCCCTATAAGGAGTACGATACCTTTTCCCGAATTACTGGCAGCGCTCCAACCCCACTGCCAAATGCAAGATGAATATGATACCATATTACCTTACACAGCTTCACCAACAATGATTCCTGGAAATTGTCCTAGATAATTAATCAGGTGAATGTAAATGAAAGAAGAAAGAAAGAAAGAAGTAGAGGTCAAGAGAAGAAAGTAACACATGAAGCCAAGAGTCTCAGTTGGGCTCTGCTGGCCGGGGCGGGTGTGTGGGTGGAAGGAAGTTCACTCACTCTCTCATCAAAGAAAATAATCCACTTTGCCTTTAATCAAACCCAAGATCACATGTAATTCACAGCGCTTGTGAGTCTTCACTAACCTGACCCCCAATCCCATTACTGTGTGAGAGAAGGAGGAGGAGGATAATGGAGTGAGGAGGAGGAGGAGGATAAGGAAGTGAGGAAGAGGAGGAGGATAAGGGAGGGAGGAGGAGGAGGATGAAGGGGGTGACAGGAGAACAGGATTTAGGATAGAAGAAATAAGAAAGGAGAGGATTAGAGGAAGAAAGGGGGAGAAATAGCAAAGCAAGGAAGGGTGAGATGAGAAGGAGGGAGAGGAAGAAAGGGGAAGCAGAAAGAGGGCAAGAAGTGAGACAAATGGATGGAGAAGGGATTTAAGTAGGGAGGGATGGAAGGACGGGGTAGACGATGAGTAGAAAGGAAGGGAGAAGTAAGATGGCGGAGGAAGGAGATGAGGAAAGAGGAGAGAGAAAACGGAAGGGGAAGAGAAAGTAGGTGGTAGATAAAGAATCGAATTCCTTGTTGTCTTATTATTGCAGAAGCTGGGAGAGAAGGAGAGGAAAGAAAAGAGGGAAAGAAGGAGAGAGGAAAGAAGAAAAAGGAAATAAGAAAGATGACTGGAAATGAAAAGAGGGAAAGAATAGGAAGGGAAAGAAAATAAACTGAAAAAAAATAAAAGGAACGTAGATATGAACGTAGCCACTGTGAGCCGGATACAGTGACAACAGTCTACTTAATTCCAGAGTACGACAGGTTTATAACAAGTCAGGAGACGCATTAACTACAATACTCATTTCCTATATACCATTTCCCGTAAGTACTTAGTAACCCGGAAGACTTGTACAGAGCGTTTTGTTGTTTCAGGTTTACAAAAGTGTCTCTAGTGATTACGCCTCTTAGCTCATGTAACAATATAACGTAAAATTAAACATTAATATTATAAAGTAACAACAAAACTATACTGTGGTTCTACTCTAATTATAGACGCTTATATAACAAGTCAGAATATACATTTAAGGTACAAAACCACTGTGTAACTATCCTGTAATGGCGCAGCTTGTTAAGGCAGAATCTTTGTCTTGTTTTCATGTTCTGTGTGTGTGTGTGTGTGTGTGTGTGTGTGTGTGTGTGTGTGTGTGTGCGTGCTCTCATCACTACACGTGGGGAGACTGAACAGGAAAAAACGACGTGGAGAGGAGATAAGACAAGAATTAAACGAGACAAGTTGAAGATGAGACGAGATGAGAATGAGAAGTAGAGCCAGAGTATGGGAACAGGACCAATATATCACATGTCACCACTAATCGATAGTTAACAAGGGGTTAAATGGTGAAAATACCGGAGAAGTAACACTGCTTACATAACTCCCCTCTCTCTCTCTCTCTCTCTCTCTCTCTCTCTCTCTCTCTCTCTCTCTCTCTCTCGCAATAATTGCTTTCTTTACATGTGATTGTTTATATCCATTTTCAACGCAGGGAGTAACTGTACATTCACCCCCCCCTGGCCCCACCTCCGTAGCTCACCTGGGACGCGCCTTCCACCTTCAGGTCTGTCATTAATATTAGAGAACCACTGCCCACACCTGGGGGCTTGGCCGTCCATCTGAGGTCCACCAGTCACATGATAGGTCCACCAGCCCTCATGGGTCCATCAGCCACCTGAAGGGTCACCAGTCACCCTAATGGGTCCACCAGCCACCTGAAGGGTCCACCAGCCACCTAATGGGTACATCAGCCACCTGGAAGGGTCCACCAGCCACCTGAGGGAGTCCATCAGCCACCTGAAGGGTCCACCAGCCACCTAATGGGTCCACCAGCCACCTGATGGGTCCACCAGCCACCTGATGGGTCCACCAGCCACCTGAAGGGTCCATCAGCCACCTGATGGGTCCACCAGCAACCTGAGGGTCCACCAGCCACCTGAGGTCCACCAGTCACATGATGGGTCCACCAGCCACCTGGGGTCCACCAGCCACCTGAGGGGTCCACCAGCCACCTGAGTCCACCAGTCACCTAATGGGTCCACCTGCCACCTGAGGTCCACCAGCCACCTGGATCAGCCACCTGTCCACCAGCCACCACCAGCCACCTGAAGGGTCTAATGGGTACATCAGCCACCTGAAGGGTCCACCAGCCACCTAATGGGTCCACCAGCCACCTGGGGTCCACCACCACCTTGGGTCCATCAGCCACCTGGGGTCCACCAGTCACCCAATGGGTCCACCAGCCACCTGAAGGTCCACCAGCCACCCAATGGGTACATCAGCCACCTGAAGGGTCCACCAGCCACCTGGGGGTCCATCAGCCACCTGAAGGGTCCACCAGCCACCTAATGGGTCCACCAGCCACCTGATGGGTCCACCAGCCACCTGATGGGTCCACCAGCCACCTGAAGGGTCCATCAGCCACCTGATGGGTCCACCAGCAACCTGAGGTCCACCAGCCACCTGAGGGTCCACCAGTCACATGATGGGTCCACCAGCCACCTGGGGTCCAGCCACCTGAGGGGTCCACCAGCCACCTGAGGGGTCCACCAGTCACCTGATGGGTCCACCTGCCACCTGAGGGGTCCACCAGCCACCTGAGGGTCCAGCCACCTGAAGGTCCACCAGCCACCTGATGGGTCCACCAGCCACCCACCAGGGTACATCAGCACCTGAGGGCCACCAGCCACCCAATGGGTCCACCAGCCACCTGAAGGGGTCCACCAGCCACCTCATGGGTCCACAGCCACCTGAAGGGTCCTGTACCTGATGGGTCCACCAGCCACCTGATGGGTCCACCAGCCACCTGATGGGTCCACCAGCCACCTGGGGTCCATCAGCCACCTGATGGGTCCACCAGCAACCTGAGGGTCCACCAGCCACCTGAGGTCCACCAGTCACATGATGGGTCCACCAGCCACCTGAGGGGTCCACCAGCCACCTGATGGGTCCACCTGCCACCTGAGGGGTCCACCAGCCACCTGAGGGTCCACTATTCCACCTGAGGGGTCCACCATTCACCTGAGGGTCCACCAGCCCACCTGAAGGGTCCAACCATTCACCTGAAGGGTCCACCAGCCACCTGAGGGTCCACTGGCAACCTGAGGGGTCTACAGAGCCACCTGGGGGTCTACCATTCACCTGAGGGTCCACCAGCCACCTGGGGTCCACCAGCCACCTGAGGGTCCATGCCACCTGAAGGGTCCACCAGCCACCTGATGGGTCCACGAGCCACCTGATGGGTCCCCACCTGGGGTCCACCAGCCACCTGATGGGTTCCACCAGCCACCTGATGGGTCCACCACCTGATGGGTCCCAGCCACCTGATGGGTCCCAGCCACCTGATGGGTCCTCCAGCCAGCCACCTGATGGGTCCACCACCTCATGAGCCACCTGGGGTCAAGCCACCCACCACCAGCCACCTGATGGGTCCACCAGCCACCTGATTCACAGCCACCTGAAGGTCCATCAGGGGGTCCACCAGCCACCTGAGCGCCAGTCACATGATGGGTCCACCAGCCACCTGGGGGTCCACCAGCCACCTGAGGTCCACCAGCCACCACCAGCCACCTCAGGGGTCCACCACCTGATGGGTCCACCAGCTACCTGACCACCACCTGATGGGTCCACCAGCCACCTGGGTCCACCAGCCACCTGGGGGTCCACCAGCCACCTGGGGGTCCACCATTCACCTGAGGGGTCCACCAGCCACCTGATGGGTCCACCAGCCACCTGAGGGTCCACCAGCCACCTGAGGGATCCACCAGCCACCTGAGGTCCACCAGCCACCTGAGGGTCCATCATTCACCTGGGGTCCACCAGCCACCTGATGGGTCCACCAGCCACCTGAGGTCCACCAGCCATCCACCAGCCACCTGAGGTCCCCCAGCCACCTGAGGTCCACCAGCCACCTGAGGTCCATCCTGAGGGTCCACCAGCCACCTGTGTCCACCAGCCTGATGGGTCCACCAGCACATGATGGGTCCACCTTGACTGTGTTACCTCAGATAATACTGTGCACAGACAGACAGATAAGTGGTGATTTTTTGACTTGCAGAATCTTGTCGTTAATTCTGATTGCTGTACATTAGATGACGTTTGGCGGACGAGGAGGAGGGAGAATGGGAGGAGGGGGGGGGAGGAGGAGGGAGGGGAGGAGGATGTAGGGGAGGAAGAGGAGGAGGAGACGCGGTAATGGCATATTAATCGGTAAATACTCCAATTTGCATTTTACTCCCGCGTAAATTCATAATATATAGACAATATTTTGCATTATACCACTGGGTCATAATAATTGACACCATCTCATTATAAATCGACCTTCCATCAGATCACTTCGACAGACTTGCAGATATTACACCGACATGAAGCTCTCAAACAGTCTTCTAGTTTTACGGCATTCAGTTTTCCATAATGTTTCCATGTATACAGTATATTGTAATATTATAAGTGTTATTAATATTTGCCCTATTGACTCACATATGTTTATTAAATGTTTGTACAGATACACTTTGTCTAACTAATGAAGCGTGTCTCGAGTTTTGTTTCAATTATTGTCCTTTTTATGAAACTGATTCGAATGATAGTTACGTAATTGTTTAGAATTTTAAACTGTTCATAATAAACTGAAAAGTAGTGGAAGTAAAGTGTAAAAAAGGCTACTGTATTCTCCAGGGGTTACGCGGGCGAAGTTACGATCCATGCCATCCGTCTGTCTGTCTGTCTGTCTATCTGTCTATATGTGTATCTGTCTGACTGGCTGCCTGTCTTTCTTTCTGTCTATCTGTCTATCTGTCTGTCTGTCTCTTCATTCGTATTTCTCGACTTTTATTTTTTGTTCATTGATTCCTCTCAAGTAATGACACCGAGAACTTACAGTACCAAGATGATGTCATGAGCTGGGCCACATCAAGAGGTTACACTGTGTCGGACGAGTAGGAGGATAATATTATCTCAGTCAGTCAGCCCAGCTCAGTCAGTCAGTCAGTCAGTTAGAAAGACATTGATAAGGTTCACTAACGTAGTCAAAAAACGAAATCAAAATTCAGATATAAAAAAAAAAGCAATACACATATCTCGTCAGCACAAACATAGATTCATAAATAAAACAACAACAAACAAAGGCACAAAATCTACAATGTTTGCAATAAGTTTTTCGTGAGTTGTTGCTGTTATTGTTGTTGTTGAATAAACAATGAAAGTTATCAAAGCATAAAATACACACAAACGCATGAAAACCTCCCATCTAGATTCTTTTTTTTATCTTTACTTAGAAATTTAAACACACACACACACACACACACACACACACACACACACACACACACACACACACACACACACACACACACACACACACACACACACACACACACACACACACACACACACACACACACACACACACACACACACACACACACACACACACACACACACACACACACACACACACACACACACACACACACACACACACACACACACACACACACACACACACACACACACACACACACACACTAAGCAGGAGGAAATGTATAAGGCAATATGTTTCCCATTTCACCGCAGCAGATGACTCTTAAATAGTGAGCGAGGTAGCAGGAGAGAGGGAGAGAGGATGGAGAAGGGACTGTGGGTGAGGGAGAGGAAGAAGGGATGAAGGAGAGAGGTGGAGTGTGGACAGGGGAGAGGGAGGTATGGGGAAATGAAGGTACGACTTGGGGAGATGGTTGGGGAAAGGAGGAAGATGGGATGTGGGGACAGCAGTGGAATGTGAGGAAAGCAAAAGGAGAGAATAATGAAATAAAGGGGAATGAAGGAGAGCAGAGGAGAGGAGAGGAGAGAACTGATGAAAAAAAGATTGTCTGGATGTACTCGAGTAAACTACAGGGTGTCCCAGAAATTAGATCAAGAGTCTAGCTACAGGCAGCATATTTATCGATATTTCAAAAGCAGTTAAAATTTATTAAGTAACGTAGAGAACAGTAATAAGGACAAAGTCGATGGTTTTCTGTATAAGAGTCAGAAAATCCTAAGCATTATTCATGAAAATCTTTAACAGGATCGGATATAAAACAAAAGGAAAATTTTTACATATAATTTTGGGGGAGAAAAAAAGAGAAAAATTATATTCAAATACAAGAAAAATAACGAAAAATCTAATAATACAGATGATCTTGAAACGTCAAACGAATATAATAATGTTAATAAAGAGTTATAGTTCTCAGATTAGATTAAAAGAAAAATAAACAAGATATATATTGATAATTAATGTTAGTTTTCATAATCTTTGAGACGCTACAACCGTGAGGAAGGAAATAAGTCCTGTGAACATAGTCGTCTGGGATCCCACCTGAGTGAAAGACAAAAACGCATCATGAGGAAGAAATTCTACCTCTTAGTTTCTTTGGGTTATACTGTAGTCTGGCGAGTGTCCAAGGCCACACACCTTAATGGGGAAAGGAACAGAAAGAGAGGGATAAACGAGGAGTAAAAAGTGCGAAAGGGAAGAAAATAAGGAATAGAGAGATAAAGAAAGGAAGCCGGAGAGATTTATGTTGTCTTCTTTTACCACTGATGCATTTCTGTGATCGCCTCATATCTTATGAATGTGTTATCAGCCTCACCCAGTGTGATATTACTTTACAACTCACTCTCGTCTCCTCCTTCACCATTTCTTCATCATAAATCAAAGCGACTTTTAACCGTATAGGAATTTTATATATCCTTTTGAGTCTTAATAAAACTGAATTTAGAACAAACTGTCTATAAATAACTGTCAAAATATACGAGACAGACACAGCCATATGTCTTTGATCGTGTGCAAGTATTTGGTGCATCATTAGGACGTCCATCCCACGTTTGTGTATATCAGCAGAAAAATTCACGAAGGCCACAGAATGTTGCAAGTCTCTCATATTGCACAGTTGAGTGCCTCCACTACCCACTCCCCAATGAATACCAAACAATGATAAAAATTCTTCTTGGTCAGCAAGCCAAATGGCACTATTTTTGTTTTATTTTTTGTTTTCGCGTAGTTCTTTTCACAATTTGTTGAAGGTAAACTGCATCAATAGTATTAACCATTGTTTGACAAAGAGGATCTATATTTCCTAATGTAAATCAAATTCTATCATAAATCTGAATTGATATTTGACAAAATCCTTAAGCAGAATTCCTGTAATCATACAGTTTTTTTTTGCATATGTATGTATGTATGTTTAAGAAACGAAGGCAGTGTAGTGCACATTGATTCCTTGTGTACCAGTGACAGACCAGGTTGCATTCAGTGTACTGTATCCGCACTGCCTTTAACACGTAATCCTAACTAACTTTACAAGTGTTGTATTAAATATCATAAGTATTAATACGGTAGAAACATTATCACTATCCCTTTATTATTATTATTATTACTCTCGTCCCTAATGATGTTATTATCACGATCAGTTAAAAATCGTTTCTCGAGCAGTGACCACACCAGTTAAGGCCCGTGGCCGCGTCCCGCCTCCTATTAGTCGACCATTATCTCACCGCCTCCCTTTTAGTGGGCCGGATTTAACAGAAAAATAAATATCTACGAATACTACATGATCAGTGAGTAGCTGAGGCACTTTGGTCCTTAGGTTGTGCGCACGTCAGCAGTTTTATCCATCGAGTGGAATTGGATGTTGGAAACTGCGTACACGTTTGGGTTACTAGTTTATATGTAACAATGATCACGGCAGAGGAGAGAGAGAGAGAGAGAGAGAGAGTGTGTGTCACTGTCGGAGGTGAAAGGTTATACTACGTGAGCAGCAGTAATACATCCTCCCCCTGCCACCAGTTGTTCTCTCAGTAAGGGTAGGAAGGCCTCTTTGCCTCCACCTCTCCGTCAGACCAACACGATGACGCCATTAACGTCAGTCCTAGAGGTTCTATTTCTGTTTCATAAAAGAAGTTTGTGTACGTGTTTGTGAATATACTGTTACCCGGGATGTATATGTCATCCACAATTGTGTACCTGGTGTCTGTCTCGAGGGTTGACTGTGGATAACACCTTCACCGATAGAGGGAAGTCATATCTTTACTGCTTCAACACCCATAGACATCTTCTTCAGTTGAGTATCGACACTATGGACATGCTCTTCAGTTGAGTATCGACACTATGGACATGCTCTTTTGATGAGTATCGACACTATGGACATGCTCTTCAGTTGAGTATCGACACTATGGACATACTCTTCAGTTGAGTATCGACACTATGGACATGCTCTTCAGTTGAGTATCGACACTATGGACATGCTCTTCAGTTGAGTATCAACACTATGAACATGCTCTTCAGTTGAGTATCGACACTATGGACATGCTCTTCAGTTGAGTATCGACAGTATGGACATGCTCTTCAGTTGAGTATCGACATTATGGACATGCTCTTCAGTTGGGTATCGACACTATGGACATGCTCTTCAGTTGAGTATCGACACTTTGGACATGCTCTTCAGTTGAGTATCGACATTATGGACATGCTCTTCAGTTGGGTATCGACACTATGGACATGCTCTTCAGTTGAGTATCGACACTTTGGACATGCTCTTCAGTTGAGTATCGACACTATAGACATGCTCTTCAGTTGAGTATCAACATTATGGACATGCTCTTCAGTTGAGTAATTGATACTATGAACATGCTCTTCAGTTGAGTATCTATACTATGACATGCTCTTCAGTTGAGTATCGACATTATGGACATGCTCTTCAGTTGAGTATCGACATTGGACATGCTCTTCAGTTGAGTATCGACATTATGGACATGCGCTTCAGTTGAGTATCGACTTTATACTGAAGTGGATGTTTCCTTCTGACATCGTTGGTTTAATTTGCAAACGTTCTGTACTACCGCCAGAAACGTTTAGGACTGGCCTCTCAAGTATATGTGTATATGTGTATTCCATTGGGCGTCAACAAACACTTTGTAACTGTTATGATTGCCTAACCAA